TGTTTGTGCCTCCCCCCCCCCCCCCCATTGTGAGATAGCTTTGGTCTGCTAGAGCTCAACCAGAGAGAAGCCTACAGGATCTTGGCTGAGGTCTCCACAATCAAATGACTTTCAGTTATATATTGTGGAAAATACTTCTTTGCAATCATGATATTCATTAGGGCCTGTGGAGGTTATAATGAATACTACTAATAGCATGGATTCAGCTTGGCCTATTTTTACTATTCTGCCTACTCTGTGACCATCGTCACACTATTGTCTTGTCCAATCCAGTATTTCTTGTTTTCATTAGCTATGGCTCCCTGAGATTTCAGACCATTCTTAGCCTTGTTTCTAGACTCCACTGAACTGGAGATACAAGCTGAAGAATGTAATACCTGTTTCTTTTTGATGAAGAGCATTGATAAACTTCAGCAGGTGAATAGAATGTATAATTTTGTACCAGTAGAAGGCTAAATTAATAGTACGCTCTAAAATAATAATTAATTAATTAATTTCTTGAAAGTATGCATCCACAGCTTTTCTGCCCACCATGTCCTGCAAACATACTTGATAGTGAGGTTTTAAAAGACAAAGAAGGATAGCTGAAGGACTGACAGTAAAATCTTTGTATGGAAAATTAAATACTGCCACTGTTGATTTGCAGATTCTGAAGAGGAGGTGCCGTTGGCAAAGAAATCTAAGAAGCCCCCAGACAGAAAACTGACTTCAGTACCTGATAAGATTCTAAAGAAGGATCCTGTTGTTTATGTTTCAGAGACAGGTAAAGGGTTTGGCATAACAGCTCTTAGTATATGGAGTTTATGCTCTATTGTAACATTTTAAAATCTTTCTAAAGATTTAGTAGGCATCCTTCAGTCTCGAGAGACTATGGTAACATGCTCTGAATAGAGGTCTTGGAACAGCGTCTAGTGTGGCTGAGAAGGCCAATTCGAGAGTGACAATCCCTTCCACACTGAAGACCAATCTTCGCATTCTGAAGATTTAGGCTGTGCTATTACAGTACATGAAGATCACAGTGAAGAAAATTTTGCATATACAGTAAATGGTGGCTTCTGACCAGAAGACTTTTAAACAATTTATACAGTGGTGGCCTGCTAAACGCTTACCCCGCATGACGTCGAAATCGCTTGACGACATTTTTGCTATCGCAAAACGATCATTCCAATGGGGAAAATCCACATTATGTTGATTAGGAGCCTGCTTTGCGAACCGTTTGTTCGCAAAATGATGTTTTTTCTGGCTCCGCAAAATGGCTTTCCTCCCGTTGCAAAATGGCTGCTTTCTGGACCCCTGCTTCGGAAGATAGCAATTTTAAACAACTGATCGGCGGTTCTCTATGGGCAATCTTCACTGGACTATGAGGTATTTCCCCATTGGAATGCATTGACGCATTCAGTGCATTCCAATGGGGTTTTTTTCCACTTGACGACGATTTCGCTTAACAGCGATTTTCCTGGAACAGATTATCGTCATCAAGCGGGGCACCACTGTATTTACTTCTAAAGACTGTTGTAGAATGTGATCTCTTACTGTGAAGAGACTGTGAGAGTTTTTGAATTCTTTTTAATGATTCATTTTTTAAAAAGGAAATAGCAGGTCTTATTGTTTGTGTAGTGTACCATCTTTCTATGGATGGGATTTGTTGATGGTGCAGAATGTGGTGTAATAGTTGCTGCGCTTTTACTTGTGAACAGATGTAGTCACTCGTAGAAGGATCACTAAAAGGCACCTGAATTACTGTTATATAGGAAATAGATTTTCTGGTGATAAAGTACTGGTTCAGTCAACTGTGTTTCTTGTTTGAGGCCAGACTCAGAATTTTGGCATGGAGTATGTTTTGGACACAATCTGTATCGTGAAACAGAAAATATATGACCAAACAAGTGGCCATAGCTCTCCCTTTTAGATTAAAGTACAAGGATAAGCTCATAATGTGTCAGTTTATTCTTACAGTGTGGTCATTAACGGGTGATAATCCTCTATTTTCTGGGAGCAAGTCTCAATGAAATCAGTAGTTACTTCTCAGCAAGCATTTGGTATGCAGCCATGATGTTAGGTCCATAGTTGACAGAGTTGAGGATCTCTGAGTTTTGTTTTCTGTAATGGCTATCTAGTTTCGTATCACTTTCAAAGCCTCCCTGATTCTAGGATACCTACTTGTTGTGTGTTCTGTGTCTTAGTAGTTTTTATTGCTTTTTTACTTCCTTGACAAACCAATTTGTACATTAAAGACGTGTAAATTAGCCTGAACAAGGATTGTAAATGAGCTAGTAGAAAATTTATCACATTCTGTGAGTTTGTCAGTCCACAGAAATATTGGTTACTCGGTTTTGATCTAAAACAGGGATGAACAGTTCAGAGAGGCAGGAGATTTCCTGGTTGTCTAAATGAAGACACTCATTGCTTTTTACAGGAAGGTAGATGAGCCATTATTTATAAGCTCATTTTAAAATTTCAAGTAACTACTAACATTTCAAATAACTATATGATAATATTGTTGTCGTTTTTTGACTTACATATACCACCCATAGCACAAAAGCATACTTTGGGTAATTTGCAACATAATTATGCAAACAGCACCTTGTCCTCCAGTCAGCTGGGTACTCATTTTACTGACTAGGATGGAAGGCTGAGTCAGCCTTGAGCTGGAGACCTGAATCTGTTGGGATCAAACTCATGAGCAGAGGCTTGACTGGAGCACATAATGTATACGTGCAATTTTTAGCAGAAACCTTGTTTTCAGAAATACTCTGTAGTATTACATTTTTGTAGGTAGAGGGCAAACAAGTTATCTGATGGACTGTGGATCTTGATGACTAGCATTCTTGATGAACTGAGAATGAAGGGCACTGTGGATCTTGATGACTAGCATTCTTGAACTGAGATTGAAGGGGTTTGGCTTTCAGTTTTCATAATGCACAGTCTCTGTAGCCTTTTCAGAAGTACAGTAAAGACTTGGAAATGTACCCAGAGGTAGGGCAACCAAAGATGTTCTGTATTATGTAACAGTGGGTGGTGCAGTCAATATTTTCCCTGTAAGACGTACCAGAAAACATTGGTCAATGTTAATGGTGAGATACTACAATTGCAGATCAAGGTTATTCTTATCTACTGAGTGCAGTTTAATAACTTGATGATATACTTTGTGATTGCCTGTACATAGGTGATCTTACCTACTGCCAATGAACAGTGTGGTGGCTGATAGTTATTTTCTCTTCCCACTGCATGCCTGCTAAAGCTCGGTAGCCTAGAAATATATGGAAAAATTTGCTGTGCAAAATTGACTTCCACTGGCCATTTTTGTGTGTGCTGTGAACTTAACGATTGGTGTGAAATAATATTTAGGCATTCTATACAAGATCCACTTGACCCATGGCTCATAAATCTCTTTTCTTTCCACTTCCATAGCCCCCCTGGTCCATGTAACAGAAAAACAAATCAGCTTAAAAAGGAGAATCTGTGATCCTGGAAGTATACATTAATGTACAGAGCATGATGCTTAGGAGTAAATAAAAAAAAAGACAGTCGCCACATCCCCTGCTTACACTAAACCTAATCCTAGTTTCATTTAAATGGTGGTGCAACTAAATCTGTGTGGGGCAAAATGGATTGAATCCAACACTTCATCTCTTTCTAAGGCTAACTCCTGCCCTTAAACCTTCTTGTTCTGTCAGAGCACAGGGACGTCTTTTTTTGACCGACAGCTTATCAGACCCAACTGCCAAATCTCCAGATCATTTTGTTACAAGGCATCGTTTGTCTGTTTACCTTTCTTTTCTGCCAGTGCCTGTCAGGGTGGATGTGATTTAAACCAGATTTTTGATGATTTCAATTTAAAAAAACACCAATTTTTAAAATTTAAACCAACTTTATTTTTAAAAAAATAATTGCCTGAATAGGGCTTATGGGAGAAACGGAACTGGGACAGGATGTTGCAGTGGGTCTTATCGCCGGTCCAGCTGCTGTTCCTATCATTTTGAGAATGTGTTCTTAACTCCTTTTGGACATCAACTCTCTGGAATTGATGCATCTTCAACCCCCCCCGCCTCCCCCCCTTCAGTGTCTTGTGGAAAGCAGAACAAATGTTGCCTCTGGCTTTTGGTGAAGGAAATAAGATTGTACATTAATAAAGGGGATATTTTGTTATTGTTAGCTTCCCTTCATATTCATATTCTTTCTGTCCTTGATTTTATACGGAATAGTACCCGGGGAGCTTTGATAATGAAATTTCAGAAACGTTGTTCACAGGTTGCCAGATTAGTCCTGCAAAATTTTCACTGATGATCTTATACGCCTGGGCTTTGATTATTGTAACTTGGAATTCTACATCTCTGAAAGCTAAGTTCTCTAAGAGCAGAACACACCCTTGTTTATTCTTATACAGAAGAAGTGTTCAGAATCAGCAGAAGTTTCAGAATGTCACCCCTGTTAAATTTGTTATATGCTAGATTAAGCAGATAAAGAAATTGAGAGATTTGGTTGTATTATATTAGTACTGTACATGGTAATCAAAAGCATGGATACTAAGGGTGCAGTTTTGGAGACTGTAATTTCTTGGAGTGGGTAAGATAAATTTTGGAAGTACTGTACAGCTGTTCCTCCCCTGCCAATTCAGTCCAGCTCCAAACCTCAACAAAATGTTCTTTTAAAGCTTGCTTTAAAAGCTAAAATATGGACAAGAATCTGAAGAGTGCATTGATCCTTTTGCCCTAAAAGATTATTTTAATAACTGTACTTGGAAGATCTGCTCATGATGCTTGTGATATTCTTGGGCTTACAGTGTAAAGGTTATAAAGGAAACCACAGTGTTTAGTTTCCAAAGCAAAACAACATAGTGCAAGTGTGTCAGTGTGCTGTGACTGAAATGGTGCTAACTGTGATTTTAAAATATCTGTGAAGTAATAAATACGGATTTAATACTTGGATAGACTCACCAGATGAATCATTAGAATTTTGAGTTTTGAGATTTCATTTGAGAAACGATAGTTGCAAAGAGCCACACTATTTGAAAGTAAATTTGTGATTCATCTCAGCACATTTTAAAAATCTGTGTAGGAAATTACAAAAACCTGTGCAGAAGGGCAACAGCTGAGCAAAGGTATTAATGTCACAGTTGGGGCAGCACTGTGTCTTATTTTAGAGTCTAGAAAATCTTGACAAAGAGACTCTTGTAAAGGTGGTTTACTTCTAGAGAAGTTGCTTGGTTCACATCTGGAAAGAATTTTCATGGGACTGCTGATCTTTATCTTAAAGGAGAGGTGGCTGTTGGAAATTCCTAAATTTGTGGCTTGGATCAAAATCTAGGAAAATGAGATTATCAGTTTATATAGCTGCATTGTCTCAAAAATCTAGTGCTGAAAATCAAACACTCATCCCCTGCACAGCATGCTCTTGTCCCAAGATTTCCTACTGGTCATGATTTTCAAGGTGCCTTCTCTTAAAGCAGCACCTATGGAAATGGATAGAGCTGCTAAGTAGCTCAGTGAATTAAGCTCTGTTAAGTAGCTCAGTGACTGTGAAGCCAGAGACTGGGGGTTCAGTTCCCTACTGTGCCCCACAGAGCACCCCCAGAAGAAGGGTAAATTATTTATGCATGCTCTGTACCTTAAAAAACCCTGGAAGGGAGGCCCCATGAGTCAGAATTGACTTGACAATGTGTAATTATTATTGTTGTAGAAATGGGGGGAGGTGATTATCGCCTATCTTTGTGTGTGTGTGTGTGTGGGGGGGGTGCTTTTGAGGCCGTACTCCAGGAAAAGAAATGTTCCTCCATGAGGAAGAGAGTATCCTCATGTCAGGCTGAGGATTCTGAGATCATTCTATTTGTATTTTTTTCAAATTTACTGCAAGAATTTGTAGAATAAAGAAAAGCTGTTTTCAAAGAATACTTTGTTCAGCGTCTTGGTATTAATGAGTTTTTTGTTGCATTGTTTTGGCACTCAGATGAAGATGAAGACTTCGTGAATGCGAAGGCTTCCCAAAAACAAAAGGAGAATGGGACATCTGCAGGCACATTAAAAGTGGATGCCAAAGCAAAAGTGAAAAGCAAACCCATGTCACCTGTGAAACTGATACCAACCTCTGTAATTGATTACTTTGGAACTGGTAGCGTGCATCGATCGGAGAAGAAACTGGTGTCAAGCAAACGGAAAGAAGTGAGTGGCACAGAAGGATGACACTTTCTCCTGGGTCGCGTGTGACCCAGGCTATGGGGTGTTCCATTTATGTTTCCTTTCTTTTGTAGGGTGTGTGAATTGCATTTAAAGTAAGTAGCACTGGGGAGAAGAGGAGAGCATCCCCCTCAATTTGTATTAACTGATTTGTTTGTATATTTATAGGTTGACCTATAAAGAATGATATTGTTCCAGGAAGTTCTGAGGTGGAGCCTGCTTTCTATCTGATTTTGTACTTAAGTCATGTTAATTTACTTCCTCTATTAAACTGTTTTGCATATGGCAATACATTTATGTCACTTAAAAATTTATGCATTTATTTTGGCTGTATTGCCTGTTTTTAGCCCCAAGTGTTCAGAGCAGCTGGCAAGGTAAAAGTGTATTTACATTAAAATAGCACATATTAAAAATGGTAAAACAACTTTCAAGAAAATAACTGTGACACAAGAAGCAACTTGAAAACAGTGGCCAAAATCCTGTGCAGCTTCTGTTCAGAAGGAAGTCCCATCAGTATAATAATGTGCAAGTGGTGCCATAATTTAAATATTTAAATAATCAATTAAAATTAAATTATAAAAAATGCAATTTTTAAATATTTACATTGTAATTTAAATTATTACTTAAATCAATCTGACTTGAATCAAATCCACTCTGTGCCATTGTGCAAGGGGTTATCTGTGAAGAAAATCCACCTTTTGCAACAACAGCACTATGCAGATGATGCAGTTCTGTGTTACTGTACTGGCAGGAATTTCCTCTCAGTGTAGGTTCCATGGGATACTCATCATCAATCTTAGGAGTAAATACCCCTACCCCTATTGTGGAGTCACCACGGAAAAGCTTTAACGTTAGTGGTGATTGATTCATTCTTTGTAATACAGTATGTTGATTAAGGGATGGTTTACCTGATACTATGAGTTGGATCCTGCTGCTGCAGAGTAAGGTTTGTCATCTTCCTAATTACAGTGGTGCCTTGCTTTAGGATTGCCCCACACTACGACAAAACCGCTTAACGACGACCTTTTTGCAATCGCAGATTGCCCCACATTACGACGAAACCGCTTACCGACGACCTTTTTGCAATCGCATTTGCGATCGCAAAACGATGGTCTGAATGGGGGAATTTCGCTTTGCGATGATCGGTTGGTTCCCTGCTTCGAGAACCGATTCTTCGCAAAATGTTTTTGAACAGCTGATTGGCAGTTTCAAAATGGCCACCGGGTGATTAAAATGGCTCCCCGCTGTGTTTAGGGACGGATTTCTTGCTATACAGGCAGCGAAAATGGCTGCCATATGGAGGATCTTCGCTGGACGGTGAGTTTTTACCCCATTGGAACGCATTGAACGGGTTTCAATGCATTTCAATTGGTTTTTTCGCTTGACGATGTTTTCGCTTAATAGCGATTTTCCTGGAACGGATTATTGTCAAGCGAGGCACCACTGTATAGCAGAACATGGAACGGATTATCGTCAAGCGAGGCACCACTGTATAGCAGAGTTCAGAATTGGGTTGAACTTGTGGATGGCAATTTGGTTCATGGTCCAAAGCTGTGATTAGCTCAGTAATGTTAAGGATTGTTCACCTAGCATCAAGAAAGAAATTGGTCATCTGCAACAAATGAGCATTTAAGGGAAGTGGAAAAGAGGTAATCATTTGATTTTAATTATCGTCAAGCGAGGCACCACTGTATAGCAGAGTTCAGAATTGGGTTGAACTTGTGGATGGCAATTTGGTTCATGGTCCAAAGCTGTGATTAGCTCAGTAATGTTAAGGATTGTTCACCTAGCATCAAGAAAGAAATTGGTCATCTGCAACAAATGAGCATTTAAGGGAAGTGGAAAAGAGGTAATCATTTGATTTTACTGAATTTTTCAGAAGTCACATTTGTGACTTGCTGGTGAAAGATGAGGGTCATTCTGCTCTTTACTGTAATATTGACATGTACCTTTAACTGGCAGGGTAGACGAGATGTGTTCAAATGACATACAATTCAACAAACAGTATCAGTTTCTCCTGTTCTTTATCATCAACAGTTTAGTCGATTAGTAGAGGATTGAACAAAACAGTATCAGTTTCTCCTGTTCTTTATCATCAACCGTTTAGTCGATTAGATAATTTGCTCACTATCCTGCCCAAAGAAAATAGGTTACAGATTATGAAAGAAAAGCATGCCATATAGTCTTCATTCCCTGGGACCAGTAATTCATTTGGTTCTATTAGAAACTGAAAGCAGGAGAAGGTCAGTATAGCACAATGGTTACAGCGTGATCAGTTTCTCCTGTTCTTTATCATCAACCGTTTAGTCGATTAGATAATTTGCTCACTATCCTGCCCAAAGAAAATAGGTTACAGATTATGAAAGAAAAGCATGCCATATAGTCTTCATTCCCTGGGACCAGTAATTCATTTGGTTCTATTAGAAACTGAAAGCAGGAGAAGGTCAGTATAGCACAATGGTTACAGCGTGGGATTAGGGGTCTGAGAGATCCAAGTTCTGGTCCCCCTGAGGTATGAAACTGACTGGGTGACCCTGGGTTAGTCTGTCTTAGCCTGACCTATCTTCCAGGAGTGATGTAAAACTGGAGGAGAAGACCCATATCTTCCATGTTGATCTTATTGGAAGATGAGGAGGACATGACTGTGAGATCCATCTGTCAATGAGGAGGACATGACTGTGAGATCCATCTATCTGTCGGTCGGTCGGTCTGGTGGCTGAATTAATTTTAGCCCAAATTAAGGTGGGATGGATATAGATTTAATCCCGATTGGTTCTTTTTCTAGTCTTGGACCTGTTTATTGCATGTGGTTGTCAGTATCAGTGTTTATGTAATCTTCCATGCAGAAACCTGTCAATTCTAACCTCTAGATTTAAGAAGCAAAACTGGCCCAGTCCTGCTTAATGCTTTAGTAAGGGACCTATGTTAGAACAGCACAGAAAGAAGGCAGGGGTCATGCAGAGTTTGTTCTATGTTTTAAGTGCAGTTAGGATGAGGTTTTCTGCTTTCTTATTTGTCTAAAAATGTTGCTTGGTGCACATCAAAACGATGGGATTGTGAAATCCCTTATGATTCTTCTCTCTTTGTGGTGCAGCCTTCCCAAAGCGGTGATTCTACACTAGATGATGAGGCTATTGCCAGGCGACTACAGCTTGAAGAGAATACAGAGGTAAAATACTTTCCCCAGTTTTTTAGCTGCATTGATGCTGAATCTGCGGGGTCTCTTTTGTCCATGAAACTCTTCTACTGAATTTCCCTTTTCCAATTTATTTAGCATTGTTTTTAGTTTCACTCCATCTCCTCTCCTTTCTTTCCCATCTTCATTTTTTACTTGACTTTTTCCTAAGGTCATGACTCCCAGAGTCAGACTTTCAAGTTTCTTCTTGAACTTTGCACTTTGTGACCAAATATGCTGCTATTCTTCTCCCACACTGCTTAGGGAGTTATTGCCTTAAGCTTGGAACTTAATAGGCTTTTGGGAAGAGTAGGGTATAGATAGCTTGCTTGCTTGCTTGCTTGCTTGCTTGGATTTATACCCAGCACCATCTGGCAACCAGGCCACTAAGCTGAGATACTCATTTATCCTCCCCCTGTTATAATCACCACAACCCCGCACCATCTGGCAACCAGGCCACTAGGCTGAGATACTCATTTCTCCTCCCCCTGTTATAATCACCACACTTCCTGAGATTGCCTTAGTCTGATGTAGGTTTTTGGAGACTGTAAGGGGATGTGCAAAGAAAGAGGAACCAGTGAAAGCAGCTTACCATGCCTTGCTGCTTGCAGGAGCATCTTGTGAAAACAATTTGTCTCGTGGAATGTTCCATTAGTGTAGAATTATAGCATCACAGAATAATTGTTTTGGAAGGGGTTTTTAAGACCATTGAGTCCAACACCCTGCACAGCACAGGAATCCAAATCAAAGCAGATCTGATCAATGGTTGTCCAGTTTTCCCCTTGAATGTCTCCAGAATTGGAATGGTCACCAAATGTTCCATTAGTGTAGAATTATAGCATCATAGAATAATTGTTTTGGAAGGGGTTTTTAATTGAGTCCAACCCCCTGCTCAGCGCAGGGATCCAAATCAAAGTAGATCTGATCAATGGTTGTCCAGTTTTCCCCTTGAATGTCTCCAGAATTGGAATGGTCACCAACTCCTGAGGTAATTGGTTTCATTGTTGTACTGCTTTAACAGTTAAGTATCAAGTACTAACATTCATTAAATCTAGTACAGTGGTGCCTCGCATAGCGAGGTTAATCCGTTCCGGATTAACCTTCGCTATGCTGAAGCATCGTTGAACGGATCAAAAAAACCCATTGGAACGCATTAAACATTGTTTAATGCGTTCCAAATGGGCCAAATACTCACCGTTCAGCGAAGCTTCGTAATGGCCGGCAGCCATTTTCGCGCCCTCGCCTCGCTTAACGAGGGCGCGAAAACGCTGCGCGCGGCCATTTTGGGGCATTTCTGGGCTTCAGCTGATCGAAACGCTTACCGGTCTTCGCAAAGCGAATTTAGCCCTATTCAAAAAAACGTTAAGCGATCGCATTAGCAATCCGAAAAAACGGATCACTATGCGATTTCATCGTTATGCGGTGCGCTCGTTAAGCGAGGCACCACTGTATTAACATGCATTTTCCCATGTGGACAGTAGCATCTTCATGACACAGAGCAGGAGAGAATAATAGTTTATACTTTATCTGCTGGTAGATGTTATTACCCACATGGAAGAGAACTTAAGCATATTGATACTATTATTAATCTTTAAACACGAGTGCTCTTGTATTCCCTATTTAATTCTGTAACCATCCAAGAATGTAAAAACTAGTCTAGTCAAATGTTGTGTTTCGCAGATTATGGTGTTCTGCTATCTTCAAAGAAAAGTATTTGCTTGATAAAGGGAGTTTATTCTAGGGCTCAAAGATGTTGGTTCTCATTGCTAGCCTTGACTGATAAGCTTCAGAAACATAGTGAAGCCTTTGCCAAGCTGAGGGAAACTTTTGCAAGCAGCAGGCAAAGGGTTTGTTTGTGTGGTGGCAGGGGGCTTCTTTCATCTCACATACTTGGTGCTCTGCTTGTTAAAATCCTCCTTCAATTTATATGAAATTGGGTCTAACTTATATTTAAAAAGTGAGTGTACCAGAGTGTTGTATCATCTGAGCAGTATAAATTCTGTGAAAATAGCATTCTGATATATGCATGAGTTAGGTGTATAAATACAGTTTGCTAAAACACTTTCTGTACCTAGTTCATTCTCCCTTCATGCAGTCTTGTCTGCAGTCACGTACCTTGATATGGTACAGAGGAGCAAACAGGTAAAAACTTGGAAAGTGACTATGTTAACCTAATTTTTTTACTGTTTTGCCTGTACAAGTATGGAAAAGTGTTTCTGGAATATTGCTCAGAGACAACTTGGATGATCTAGTATTACTTTTGAACTGAAATTGGGAGCAACTGTGAAAGTGCTGGGTACCAAGAGTTATCTCTGGATTGTGATCAGCATATGTGAGATAGATATATTTAGTCATATAGTAACTAATATTGAGAAGAATATTCCCACTGTTAAAAAGAGACAATATCGCATGAAAGTCTTTATTTGTTGTTGTTGTTATTTATTATCCAAAAGACAAACAGTAAAACATTGGCAGAAACCCAGTAATAAGTTGTAATTAGAGTAGGCTCACTGAATCAGTGGAGCCTACTGGAGGAGTTGACTCACCACATTCCCATTAATGCAGTGGGCCTACTCTAGTTGTGACTTACTACTAGATATTAGTCATTGTCATTATCTACAGCAGATGCAGTGGGCCTGCTCTAGTTGTGACTTAGTACTAGATATCAGTCATTGTCATTATCTACAGCAATACAACAGAGGCCCCCATCTGCAGGATCAGTATCCACTGATTCACTTATCCACTGCCTGAAAACAATGAATAAATAAACCCTTACATATTTTCAGGGTGTATTTACCAGAACCGGCCACTAGAGGGAGACAAAGACCATGCAATGTATAGCATTCAATACTGTACTTCCGTGGTGTCTGAATGGGCTTCGAACCAGTCAGCCATGTATAGCATTCAATACTTCCGTGGTGTTTTTGGCATCTGCTGGGGGAGCTTGGAACCCATCTCCCACAGATACTGTCGACCTCTTGTACACATTGTGGCCTTTTATTAGGCTACCTTGAGATCTCCCCATATTACTTTATTATTACTGTTTACGTTTTACGGAATGAAAAATAACTGTAAAGAACTTCTGATACACCCATTTAAAAATGGGAACTTCTGTTAAAAGTTAATATGTGCTAAGTATGCATTAGCGTACTTAGGCAGCGTTAGCATAATCTCAAGGCTTCCCATGCTGCAGCTCCCCACAGCTGTGCAAAAAAGAGGGGCTTTTCTTGAGCACTGGCACGATACACCTACCTCTGTACTATGGCAATACAATGATTTGATTTGTCCACTGAGGCTGGTGCCAAGATCTGAATTCTCCACAACAATGCAAGATACTGTTGCTATGCAGTTTTTGCCAATGTAGTTTAAATATTTAAACCTGTAAGAATGTGCTTTAGAAATCGACAATTTAAAAACATGGTTTATTCTTATGATAATTTTATGTTTTAACCCAAGGATCTCTTCACAAGAATTTTTTCTTCTTCTTGTGTTGTTTGCTCACTTGACTTCCGTTTTTGCTGTTGAGTTGGCGTTCAGCTTCATACTGAAAACAGGAAAGATTAATGCTGTTCATTGGTCTGAATATCCTCCTGTGGATTATGATCACATAAAAGGAGAGCCTGTGGCATTCTTGTGCTTACAAAGTTATCTGTCTGAATCATGCACTGAGGCAGGTTTTGATCTCATTTTTGTTCAAAGATTTGATTTGGGTAATATGTGCAGCACAGCTCTTAGCAAAACTCTTGGCCAGAATGAATTATATATCTTCTAAAAAGCAATATTTGATAAAAACAGGATGCTAGTCACAGTAGCTGCTGTCTTGTATTCAAGGGGGAAATTAAGGGAAACTTGTTTTTGACCTTACTGAATTCAATTGAATAATCGCAAACAGGACTTGAGTGTGTATTGGGAATAAAGAAACACATTTAAGAAGAGAGATGTTGAAAATACAGCTTGTAGGTTGAGATTTGTTGGCTTAAAGGGAGAATGATTTAGGGAAGCTCCCTCAGACTGACAGATCTATTATTTGGGCAAGCCATACCTAAAATGGATGGCTCTAAAATGGAGCAACCTGTAGGCCTGATCTGTCTAGTTCGTAAATGCTGCGTGACTTACTGTTGCAGCTTCCCGTTGGTCTTGCAAAATAATAAAAAAAAGTTGCATTAATTTATACTTGGTTTAAATTTACTGATGAGGAATTCTCTACATCCGCCTGCTTGATTGCCATTCATTTGGTTCATAATAAGCTATGGTATGTATTTCTTTCCCACTTTTTGTTTCCCTCTCCTTAATAAAAAGGAGAAGGTTTCAGTTGTTCAAAGTCAGTAAGTTAATTGCAAGGCTGGCAAGACAAGAGGGTCCAGTTCCATTCCCAAATGTCCCCACAGAGAGCTCCCAAGCCTGTCTTGTCACCCACTAAGACATTTTCCTTTTCCTCTCATACTGCTAAGGCAGCAGCAGGCCAGGTGTCAAAATGGAGTTTTTTTTAGCATTCCACAAGGACTTGCTGAGAACTCAGTTTCTTAAAATACTCTTGTTTCCTACCACAGCAGCCCTGGAGGAATTGAGGGGAGGGACAGGGAGGAGCTCTCTTCCCTCTCTCAGCAATGGACTAAAGAAGGAGGAGGATGGTGTAGGTCAGTGGGTGTGTTGCAGGGAAGAGTTTCCCATCTTGGTTAAAAGTAAATTGTGCAAAATATGAACTTGGCACTGGGTAGAGTACTATAACACTTGCAGAGTGTCACAGTGAGAATTGCAAGTGGAACAATTAATATTCCAAGACAACAAATTAGGAAGCATAGTGATACCACCGGTACAGTTTTCATTTGGAGGCATGCTAGACATCTGTTTATGAGCAACATCAGTGTACTTGTTAGTGCCTTTTGTGATATGTTGCATGTTCTTTACAGATTGAGAGACAGCTGCATGAAGATGAAGAATTTGCTAGAACGCTGGCCTTGTTGGATGAAATACCAAAGAAAAAGGTAACAGTTTATTATGTCATTGCTCAGTGTAAATCTGTCCTTGTTTGTGTGTTTCTGGGTAATAATCTGCAGTGAATTACAAGCATCTTGCATATGATTATGAGAATTGTCACTGTAGTACCTATCTACCTACCTACCTCAAGCATTTATACCCAGCCCTCTATCACAGGATCTCAGGGAAGGTACAGAGCCATATAAAATGATTTTAAAACATAAGGTATTTAAAACAATTTAAAATTAATCAGTTTACAACAAAAAATTAAAGCATTTATACTATTGTGAAACTTGTGCAGGCCTCAATGTTATCCATGCTTTTTTTAAAAAAAAAGGAAGTCATGTCTCTATTAGAACTACTTTTTTCTTGTTCTTTAGTTGTTGTTGTTTTCCCTGAGGTTTTAAAAACAGCGCAGATCTAAGAAAATAGCTGCAGCCTATTTTTAAACTTTGAGCATTTCAGGATAAGACGAGAAAAAACAGTTTAGGATAAGTTGAAAGCAGTAGAAAAAGAGGAGCTTCTGAAATGAGATGGATTGACTCAATTAAAAGAAGTGTACTGTTAATTTTTTTTAAGGCCTGAGCAGTGCTATTACTGATTGCACCTTTTGGAAGGCATTAAATCATAATGTCATTGTAAGTCAGAAGTGACTGGATGGCACACACCATACACAGATATCTCGTCTCTGTGTTATGTTTTTTTTTACTTGGCATTCTGTAGTGCATACAGTAAAGAGAGTGGTCAATATTTTCGGCCATGATTCTTGGAGTGAATTTCATTTTTTGTATACATCCTCCCTGAAAAGGTCATCTATACAACTATGTATAGATTATACTAGATTGATCTGAGGTTGGAGTGTTGGAAAGTTGGTAGACCAAGGAATTGTGAAGAGCCATCTTACTAACCATGCTGTCATTTGAAACTGATCTACACCTTGACATGCTCTAAGTGAAGATCAAAAAGAGGGATCCAAAATTGGTCTAATACTTGATCTCTGTGAACAAATATGTATGCCCATACTTGCATTTTGAACACTAGTTGCATAGCTAACTGGGTTGAGGGCGCAGAGTGGCATGGAAGAGCTTTGAAGATTGTTCCAAAAATCTTTAAACAAATGAAGCAGAAAGAACAAGTGGAACCTATGATAAAACATATGCAGATGGAGTGCCCTTGTTCAGGATTCCATCCATCTGATTCTCTTCCCCACATATCAGTTCTGCAGGATTCTGTGGGCCTGGAGTGAACTGGGGCTTTACTGGGCTGTTTTCTGTGTCGTCCCCCCCTTATTTCCCCCCTAAACTCTTTTCACATTTCTGCAAATCTTGGGGATTTTTAAAGCCCACTATGGCTTTCCTCTTGCATATGAGTGATGCTATTTTGGCTACATAAGAAATGGTACTCAGTCTGAACATTGCAGGTTAGGGAAGTTGTGATTTGTTTCTTGATCTCTGAGTAGATAATTGTACAGTCTATGTTCGTTGGAGAAGTGGCTTTGTTTTAAATTGCAAAGGGCAAGATTCACCAGCTCAAAAGACTTTTGATTCTTTTGATTCTATGTGTTGGATTCTGTCATATTTTAAAGAAACAGTCATACTGTTTTGAAATGCTGTTTTCAATCAGATATCCTTGCCTTTCTGTTTAGTAGCTCACAGTCCTATTAGGATTACTGGTTGAAATCTGACAAGAGAATGGATACTGCTTCCCTTTTATATGTCTCTATCAGGCTCTTTTTCCCTATAGTCCCAGTGTTATGAATTAAGTAACAAATGTGCATGTGAATGTTATAGAATAACTTCTGGTGTGTATTCTATAAGAAATCTTAAGGATATTAATAGTATGTGATCTTGTTTTAGGACAAGTGAAAGTTTATTTCCAAAGTTAGGTATCCATTTATTATGATTAAGTACTTCAGTACAGCTGCTTTGGGTCCTTTTAAGAAAAAAGGTGGGGTAGAAATATTTTAGATAAATAAATAAATACATATACAGTAGTTATTTATGAATACATTTTAATCTGTTTTAGCCTCAAAAAGATCCAGACGAGAAACAGACAGTTTCAACAACCAAAATTAGTCCAGAGCAATATCACAAAGGTAGGTGTTGTCTAGTATAGTAGATTTTTAGCTTGTTGGGCTGAAGCACTTTTTCAATACTGAAGACTCTTTTCTCCACCCAGTTAAACCTAGCATTTCAACTCTTGACTCAAGACCTTGTTCTACAAAGGATCGGATTCACTCAGAAAGCACACGGACATCAAGTCTTCATTCAGAGTCTTCTGTTAGTAAAGAAGAGAAGGATGGGAGAAACTCAAAGGCTAACTCCAAAAGTATTAAAGTGCAGAATGGGACTCCGAAAGGAGACAAAATCAGAACAGAAAGTATGACTCCAAGAGGAAAGACAGTGTCACCAAAGGAGGAGAAAACACCTAAAAAAGAGAAAGTTTCTCCCCAGAAATCTAAGGTAAGCGTAAGATGCACCCTTGTGAGATTGCATTTTTAATGCATGATGAGGAAGCTAAAAGATTTTGTGGGATGGATATAGGCTTTCCCTTGGCTGTCAGCAGATGGCTACAGAGCAGTAAAGTGCACCATGCTTAGTTTCCATGTGTGTTCCTAGACTGTAAATGAAATAGGAAACTGTCTTGTTCTGAGTCAGACTCAGGAGCTTCTTTGGTTTACTGGTAGTATATATCTGAACAGGCAAAGGGTCTTTAGGGAATGGGATAAATTTGTTTTGTTTGTTTTTTTAAGGAAAAAAGAGGGGAATAGTATATTAGCAAAGATATGTGCAACAGAAAAAAAATTGAAGCAGCTTGACCCTAACAGGTGTCAGAGCAGTTGCATGATGGCAGTAAGGATGACACAGTTGCCATTCTCCTGGAAAAGCCTCCATAGGACATTTCAGAAATGAATGCTTTCAAGGAATATTGGGGCAAGCTGACTGATGGGAGGCGGCAGAAACCAGATGAAGACCAGCTGTTGTGCAAGTGACCTCTATCTTGCCTCTTTGTAGAAAAAAGTTCAGGAGAAGAAGGGTGCAAAATATGGTAGTTAAAAGATGCTTCTTATCTCAATCTGTCCAGGTTCAAATGATTGAGTTTTTCCCTTGACTAACGTGTGTATTCCCTTTCTTCACTCAAATAGTTTAGAAATTATTTCCAATGATGCTGCCTGGTTTTCTTTCTTTTTCTTGAAGTCTGAAAGCCCAGAAGATTCCGAAAAGAAGCGCATGAATTACCAGGCGTACCGAAGCTTCCTCAATCGAGAAGGTCCAAGAGCGCTGGGTTCTAAAGAGATACCACAAGTAAGTCAAAGTGCTTGTTTCAAAAGGATAGTGTGAGGTATGTACTGGTAGAGATTGTTGCTATGCTATTTTGAGGTGGCTTAAGAACTCTTCTTTGACTTCTTCCATGGTGCCTGCTGCTGGAACCTCTGCTTGTAGTCATATCTTGAGATGTTATCTACAGCTTTCTAAATTATTCCTTGGAATTGAGGGAGCTGAAATCATTCTGTCTCCATTCACATATGTTCAGTTCTCAGATCTTGTGGTATCTATAGTTGCTTTACCGAATGTTAAAAACAGTGTGGAAACAAGAAAGATTTTGTTCCATCCAGGAGTATACAGCAAGGGAGCTTTATCTTGTATGATTTTTTTAATGCAATGTACTTATAGGTATTGGTACTACAAAAAATGTTTGCAAAGTACACATTACACTATTGAATATGGTGTCTGTTCAGACATGCACACGATGTATTTTAGATTTGTAAGAACCCTGAACATAATGGCTTTTAAACTTGGAATGGTATGGTTCCTAGATAAAATCTTGCAAAAATGACTGTTCTGTGTGCCTTAAAATATTGATCTGGTCGGAGATCATGTTCCTGATCTGACAAGGCATGGCCTGTTGAGATGGGTGTGAGCAGTGACACTGAGACCTGCCTTTCTCCTTCATGTATCTGGCATCAAATCTGTACAGGACTAAAGAACATTTTTTTATTTGGCCAACAAAATACATAGGCTACAGTTGGCCTTGCACCTAACTGGCATAACATGAGTACTTCTTTTTATACTGTTTGATATTTAGGGTGCTGAAAATTGCCTGGAAGGGATGACATTTGTTATCACAGGTGTCTTAGAGTCTATTGAACGTGATGAAGCCAAATCTCTGATTGAGCGCTATGGGGGGAAAGTAACTGGTAACATCAGCAAGAAGACAAACTACCTTATTAAGGGTCGTGATTGTGGTGTGTCAAAGTGTGAAAAGGTAAGTTACTCTAGTTGGGATGGTCTGTTGGAAGTGTGGAAATCTTTGTCTTAGTAGTTAGCGACCTTTGACCCATGCATTTTCCTCTTCGAAGCCGAACTCTCCTACGTTTGTGGAGAGCACCTTTATATTGGGCACTCTGACAGATGGCACCTAAAGTTTCTACACAGCCTAAAGGATAGTCACTGATCCTCTGTCATGTGGTATGGAAACAATCACCACCCTTCACTCAGAAAAAAAGTTGTTTTTCTTGGATCAGATCATGACCTAAGCAATGACTTTGGAAACTTGAAATCCACCCAGGATGACCGTGCTTGTTCTGGTTTTTGGCAGTTTGTTGCTTCTGAATCTCAGGGTTCTATTCAGATACCACAGTTCATAATTTTTGATTGATCTGTTCCTCCAATCAGGTTGCCCCATGCCTTTCAAAGGTGGCAAATTAACTGGCATTGCTGTAATCGCAGCAATGATTAGCATTTACTAATTGATTGCTCATCATGTGACAGTTTTTTGATTTCTGTGGCCCTAATCAACTCCTAAATCCAGCCTATCCTGGTGCCAGGATAGATCAAACTGATTTAAATCACTGTTTGAATTTTTAAAATTGGATTTTTTACAATATAAATAAAAAAATAAATTGTTATTTACATCATTATTTAAATCAATTTGATTTTTTTAAAAAAATCATTGATTTTTATCTACCCTATCTGGTGCCCTCCAAATGTGTTGAGCTACAAGAGCTCACCATCTTGCCAGTTGAACTGGACGTGTTTTAGTATTGTGTGTGAGAAAGAAGAATCTTTTCTGTCAGTTTTTGGCAGAACTCATTATAAGATTATAAACCTCTATTATTTACTAACTTCGTCACCCTCACCAGAGAGAGAGAGAGAGAGAGAGAGAGAGCACATCCTCCAGCCCCAGAATTGTTTCACTTTTCATTGTTATAATTTTACATGCTATAAAACATTGTTGGAGTATTTGATTTTGGAAGAGGAAAAAGGGGAACTTTAGAAGGACCCTGGTACATGGAGAGGGATAAATATTAGTGAACACATTGTTATTCCTTATTGAAATATCCTTATTAGAGAGAGAAGAATCTCTAACTCATGGGACTCCTCATGTTTGCTGAGGAATGGACAATAATTCTGAGTCTACTGTCTTTAACTATATTTTTCTGCTATAATCAGAGTTACAACATGAACGTAAAATAATGAGGATCTGGTATCATAGAAATGTAGGGAATCATAGAAATATAGAAATATAAAGTTGGTAGAGATCCCATGGTGCATCCAAATCTCTTGATGAAGCAGGACGTCCGTAGCTAATGGCCTTCTAGTGTCTGTTTAAAAACCCTCTGAAGTAGTCTGCGGTCAAACAGCTATTACTATGAAGGGGACCAGCATGATCCAGTGATGGTTTTCAATGCTGGTGCCAGGTTTGAAGAAGCCTGAGTGAATCCTCCCTCCAGACATGCCACACTGTGCCTCTCTCTCTGCTTGTTGGCCTATCTGCTGACTTCGTAGCAGGCCAGCTGTTCTCTTGGACCTGAAGCATGAATCTTAAAACGGAAGTACACAAATTATTAGTGGAGATATCTCTCATTCAAGATGTATATATTTGATTAAGCGGGAGGCCTATCTCCTCTTGAATCTGAACACATCGCTGGTATGTGGCTGTGCCAAACCTTCTGGTATTAGACATAAACCTAACTCACTGTGGTAGTTCTTCTGTCTTACAGGCATCCTCTTTAGGTACTAAAATTATAGATGAAGACGGCTTATTTGACCTGATTCGGAATACACCAGGCAAGAAGTCCAAGTATGAAATAGCAGCTGAAGCTGAGGTGTGCACAAATTAACTTCCATCTCAGAAGAGTCCCTGCTAATCCTATGTAAATTGTATTCTCTCTGTAAACCTAAATTGAATCAAGCTGGCTCTTCAGCTGGTACTTTAGAAGAGCTGAAACTTTGATTTTTAATATTTTATTTATTTATTTATTTATTTATTTTAATTATAGATGGAGGGACCAAAAATACATGATACTGGGAGATTTATGATTGGTTACTTCAGCTTGGGAGATGGTAGGCCCAGATAGGCTTTATATTTGATGCAGCCATTAGCGATGGGTTTTTCAGAATCAGTGAGCGATCAGTCCCATCATTCAGCAGGATCCTCCCTCCGCCCAGCCAAATTGTGGGACATCAAGCCAGTAGGAGATGGAGTGGCCTTCTTATTGCCATGCTGTTTCTTTCTGGCCTTAGAAATGTGCCACGTTGCATTGTGGGAGTTGCAAGGTTTCCCTGCGGCGCACAGAGATGTGTGGGGAGCACTTTAAGTTCTCCTTCCGCATTTGTTCTCCTGTGCATCTTTGTAAGTTGTGGGGCTCTCTCTGACTCCCACAGTGCAGCAAGGCACTTTTAAAAGAACGAGTGTGGAGGTAACCAGTTTGATGACTCCCAGTCCCATATTTCCCACCGAATTGCCAGGCTGGGAGTTTATTGATTCCAAAACTCTCATTGGGGGAAGGGATTCTTCATAGAAGGAGGTAAATGTAGTTGTCTGGGATGCCTGATCTCATTGATGTTGCCCTGATAATCCCTGGAGAGCTGTCATGTTCCTACGGACACAATTCACATATTTTTGAATTAGATTTCAGGCCTGCCTGTTTTCACTTTCCTTTCAAGGTGAAGAAAATGAGATCAAAGAGGGATAAAACCCCACTGAAAGCTGAGCAGGAAAAAAGAAAAATTAGCCCCTTCAAGAGAGACAGTGAACCCAGAAAGAGAACCTGCACCTTTGAAAAAGAAGATACTTTCAAATCTGTCAAGAAGGAAGCTGTGGAAGCAAGGAGGGGTCTGGATTTTGATCAGAAAATCTTGGAGAAAAAACAGGTCTCTGCTGATGCTAGGAGCCCAGTTCAAGAAACGAGTGAAAAAGGAGTGGAGGAATTATTATGGGTGGACAAATACAAGCCCACATCACTTAAAGCCGTCATTGGGCAGCAAGGTGACCAGAGCTGTGCCAATAAACTCTTACGTTGGCTTCAAAACTGGTACAAGAATACGTCAGAGAACAAACATGGTAACTATACAGTAAATGATTCTCTCAATGTTCTGACATGGTTTTTCCAGTGTTTGGACAGTGTACTTTGTTGACATAGTGGCTGAAATGCTGTTGCTACGTCTAGTGAGACACAACTAGTCTAGGCCTGTTAAATCAATGGGGATTTGCTGTGTCAACTCCTTTGTAAGTTCCTCTGATTCACTGGGCCTACTCTGGTTCTGGCTTACTACACTAAGCAGCAGGGCTTAGCAGAGTCTGCCAAATGGAAAGCGTTATTGAACTCTGGTTCATTTTAATCCATTAAGTTTCTGATTTTGGTTACTCTAATGCAGGGGGTGAGCAATACATAACCTGTGGGCCTCAGTCAGCTCCCACCCCCGAGACTATTTTGCAGCCCCCAAACACTCCTCTATGAACTGAACCTCTGATATTTGCTGGCAAATTACCTTGCCAGTATTCAGTGGTGAACTGCTTGCATGCATTACAACAGGCAGAAAATGCTTGCTTTAAATAGATTTCCAGGCCTTGCCTTGTTTTAATGCCTTTTCTCCAATTTGCTGCCAATATGCAGCAGTGAAATTTGCCACCTAACTTCTGTGGTTGCCAGGGCACAGAATAGATGTATTTGTGACATTCTCTAGCCCTGCTGTTATGGAAGCTACAGGTGAGTCAGGATCTTGCTTCCTCAGCAGTCATTGCCATGTATTCATCCAGAGATATTTTCCCACACATCACTCTCCTACTGCCCCCCAGTATGCACATAATCGGTAAATATAATATCACGTGAACAAAAATTGGCAGGTTCTGAAACCAAGAAAACTGTAGAACCTGGATTGTCAAACTGGGTTCACAAGTGAACATTCATCTTGACACTTTCTTTTTTTTCCAAATGCAATATTTAACAAAACAAATCAGGCTTTACCACTGGCTTCTGATGTAGGCCTATCTGAGAAAATTGTTGAAGCACCAGAAAAATCTAACATGAGATTTGTTTCAAATAAGATTTTAGGCTCCTTTTTATTGAAGAACTGCCATTCATGGTACATAAATCCTGTAGTGAAACTAATGTGTGATGTGCTTGATCCCTGTTTTTAACAACTGATTTAACATACGTGGCTGGAAGAATTGATCTACATATTCAGAATAATCATGTGGCTCTGTTGAGACTGTACAGTGGTGCCTCGCTTTACGATTGCCCCGCATTATGACGAAACCACATTACGATGATCTTTTTGCGATTGCAATTGCGATCACAAAACGATCGTCCGAATGGGTTTTTTCGCTTTGCGATGATTGGTTCCCTGCTTCGGGAACCGATTCTTCGCAAAACAACAATTTTCCTCCAGCTGATCGGCGGTTTCAGAATGGCTGCCGGGTAAATAAAATGGCTCCCCACTGTGTTTTTGGATGGATTGCTCGCAAGACGGCCACTGAAAATGGCCGCCCTATGGAGGATCTTTGCTGGACATCTTGAAAAGGGTTGGGGGCAGTGAAGGATGAACTTTATATAGTCACAAAAGCTTATCTTCCTAATAGTTGGGGATTGTTCTTGCTTGGTGAGTACATCTTTGGGCTGTATTTATAGGCTGATTTATTTGATATAGAGCAGTGGTCCCCAACCTTGGGCCTCCAGATGTTCTTGGACTACAACTCCCAGAAGCCTTCACCACCTGCTAGCCAGGATTTCTGGGAGTTGAAGTCGAAGAGCATCTGGAGGCCCAAGGTGGTGGACCACTGGTGGTAGAGGGTTCGATTTACAAGTTTCCCAGGCCCAAAAAAGACTTATGAGGTTGGCGGTGTGTTGCACTGAACGGAGATTTGCTTGTCTTCCCCTTTGCCATTATATCAGCAGGATAGGACAAAAGCTCTTTCCGTTTTCTCTGTAGGAAAACCCATTAAGTCTGGCAGCAGAGATGATGGTGCTACTTTCAAAGCAGCTTTGCTCTCTGGGCCCCCAGGGATTGGTAAAACGACTACTGCTTCATTAGCTTGTGAGGTGAGTTCTAGTTTTATAAATGGTGGGTTCATTTGAAGGACAGGAGAAACCTGGCCCATACTGATGGCTTTCCATTCTGTTTTCTCTGTGCACGAAGTGACAAATGTGCTGCAGAAATGCTTGGATTCTTTGGTATTTTGTGGTATAGTCAGCTGCGATAATTGCTTTTCACTTGGATCTACTGGTCAGTAAAAGCCATTCTCCGTGTTATGCCCGCCCTGTCAGATTAGCCACCCCGTCTCGTAATGAGAAGGCTTTGCCACTTTTATGGGAACATGCTGTACATGCTACCTTCCTTTTCTTGCCTCTCTCATCTAATCTTACTCCTTAGTACAAACTGGTGTCATCCAAATGTGTTGGCCTATACCACCATCATCCCTAGGCAGTTGATACGATAGGATTTGTAGTCCAGAACACTAAGGGGGTGGGAATGCTGCTTTTCCTAGGGATTGGAAAGAGGGGGAGCAGGTGAAAATGTCTTCATTTAAAAATGTAAATTGCTTTTTTGTTTAATCTTTTGATTCTCCTTTATAGCACCAGTAAGAATTTATGATTGGCTCACAAACCAAGTGGGATCCTAATAGGATTCGAAGTGGAATCCTAATTTTTTAAAATATAGTTAAATTAGAATTCCCTATACGTGTCTTATTTGACCCAACTCCGGGAGGCAGTGGAAGACAGGAGGGCCTGGCGTGCTCTGGTCCATGGGGTCACGAAGAGTTCAACACGACTTAACAACTAAACAACAACAACATATGTGTCTTGCTGATCCAGTTTCATGTTGCAGAGATTAGCACCCTTAGAAGGCAGTCATGGTTGCTCACTGCTTTCTTCCTCTCACACAAAACTATTTAAAGAGTATTGTCTGCCTAGCTTGGAAGCCAGTGATGTGTACGTGATACTGGTCAATGGCTATGGGTAGTGTTGGCAAATTCCATGAGGATTTATTGGTGGATTTCTGGGCATCTCATAAAATTAACACATGTGGGTTATTTTTCTTAATGTCTTTTACTTTCGCTGACACCACTGTCTTGTTTGTGTGTTGGGACTAGGAACTGGGCTTGAACTATGTGGAATTAAATGCTAGTGACACTCGGAGTAAGAATGGCTTGAAGGAGGTGGTTGCTGAATCTCTAAATAACACCAGCATTAAAGGATTCTGTTCAGGTATCGTGATTTATCTTGCTTCTTACTTAGCTGGAACAGTGATATGGACTTGATGACTCCGACTCACCATTGCAGCTGTTTTCCTTTCAAGGCTATAAGCATGTTTTCCTTTCCCTCAGAATCTTGTAACTCTCCCCATCTTATATTCATCTTCTACAAAGAGCAGCATCTTTAGAAAGATTTTATATGAGAGTAAGAGCTCTGTGCCATCTCTTTGTGTTCATCCATCATCCTTAGGAATGTCATCTTCAGTCAGCACAAAGCATGTCCTAATCATGGATGAAGTGGATGGAATGGCTGGCAATGAAGACAGAGGAGGAATACAGGTAAAAAAAAATCAAACCCTTTCTTTAAGAGAGTGGCATGTTTACTGAGTAGAAGAATGGGAAGGGATACTCCTGGGATACATCTTTATGCATAAGTGGGCAAAGTGTGGCCTTGTGGATGTTCGAGTTCCCAGCATTCTTCATCATTGTCTAATGATGCGAGTTTTAGGTCATTGGAGTTGCAGTCCAACAAAGCTTGGAGGGCTTCATTCAGCCCGCTCATTGCTTAAGGCAAGGGTGGGCAACTTGCATCCTCCAAGGCCATCCTAGGGCCCCCAGGTTGAATCCTCCCTTCCATTTTTGGCCAAAAAATGTTGCGAAGGCTTTTTAGCAGTAACTTGCATTTGTATTAATGAAAAGATGGTTTATATAAAGTTGATTTAACAGGAAGGATATTGCCTTCTGTGAGATTAACTTGGTGACAGCACTTTGAACTATTAACCAATAGAGCTGAAAGCGAGGTGACATTCTTGAGAGTTCTTTTAACTTGCACAGTAACTTTTCATTATGGTCAATTCTACATAAAGGACTTAACAGAGGTGTTGCAAACCCTTCTTGCAGGAATTGATTGACCTCATTAAGCATACAAAAGTCCCAATAATTTGTATGTGTAACGATCGGAACCATCCAAAGATCCGTTCCCTCGTCAACTACTGCTTTGACCTTCGTTTTCACCGACCACGTGTGGAACAGATTAAGGTATGTTGTTGATGTAGAATGTATCAAGTGCTCTGTCACAACAAGGAAATAAGGTTGGTCCCTCTAGATTAGACTAAAAGCTTAGTTAAAAGTGGCCAAGGAGAGGTTTTATTGTCTTGGATTTATCAGGATTTTGGTTTGTTTAGCAATGATAAATCTGTCCTCCTTGCATTTAAGTTTCTAAATGGGTATAAGCTTGCCCAGGCAATCTGATCCGTGGGTCAGGAGTTGCTGCCCAGCATATTGTTGGGCTTTTTCAGGGATGACCCTGCACCTATGAAACTTCCTCCCTTCTTCCATCGCTATTCATTAAAAAAAAACAAAGTATTTCTACTGCAGTTTATAGTTTATTTATTGCTGTGCTTGGATTAATTCATGGTTTTAACAGGGAATTATATATTTGATTTGGTCTTAAAATTTGTGAAGGCTGCTATACTACTCGGACTATTTTAATAAATTATGCATTACTTATAAATTTGTTTATAAGTTTTTAAAAAATCATTTATTAATAATAGTATACATTTATTTATAAGGCTTAATTTGTATTGTACTCCAGTCATTGTTATTAAGGGATTTACAAATCACTTATAAATACACTTATATTATACATTGCAAATATAGTATAATTTTATTGTATTGTATTTATTAGTGATTTATCAACCTTTTAATAATATGACTGAGGGGAGTAAAATACAAATTAAGTCTCCTTCTTTTCACCTTTGTTGTCGTCTTTGGGGTGTTCACTGAATCTTTTTTTCTGACAGGTTTCTTTTGGTTTCTTTCTGTGGACAATTTGGTGGAAAGCGCAGCTACTAGCAATCTGAAATTGTACAATATGGGAAAAACTTTGCCACACTTCTTTAGACTGAATGCGCTGAGACTGAGTCAAAGAAACAGTCATTAATTGTCCTGCATGTAGGACCGAAAGACTCTGGGCCCCTGGCTGGAAGGCTTCTGCTTCTTCCTGTTGCCTCTTTAGTGGCTGTTCTGGTTATACGACAGAGCTCAGCAATTTCCATGGGTCTAGGGGGTCTGATTTGCTCTCCAGGACCAGCCAAACAAGCTGCACTTGTTTCTAGTACCACATTGCTGAATTCAGTGCTGAAATGTGATTGTGGTGGTGGCAGCAACAGCAAAAAAACCCAAAGACCATGTTCAGTTATAAAAGGGTAAGGGTCGGAAGCATGCACTTTGCTTTCCATGCCAGTTGTGCTTTAGATGGCATAGTGACAAACCTATTGGTCACTGGAAAAAAAAACAGTAGGAGGGGCCACATGCACCCTTCCTTAAATGTCTTTTTCAGAATTACGTGTCCCTGTTGAGCAAGAGAGCCTTTGTTTTGAAATGGTCTGGCAGACACCGGGGAGGGGCCACATGCACCCTTCCTTAAATGACTTTTTCAGAATTATGTGTTCCTGCTGAGCAAGAGAGCCTGGCAGACACCGTGATTTCCCCAGCAAGCTCATAAATCTGTATAGAGAGTTGAGAATTCTGTCATTTTAAAGATAGGTTTAATAAAATAACAGGTTGATGTTACCAGCAATGTTGGTATTTAAAACTGTACAGTGTGATTTTATTTTTTTGGAGAGGAATGTGGTATGCCTATGTATTTTGATTTGCATCCATTCTGAAGCATTTGCTTCTTGCAGGGTGCAATGATGTCTATTGCTTTCAAAGAAGGGCTAAAAATTCCACCTCCAGCGATGAATGAAATCATTTTAGCAGCTAATCAGGATATTAGACAAGTAAGTGATTTGTGACTGCCATCCTTTCTATTCTGCTGTTTATTCATTTATAGCTTTACCCAATGTGAATGAAGTTTTAGATACCAGGCATTTTTCCCTTGCAGATTGATTTAGACAAGAGGCAGATATGATAGAAGGGAAGGAAGGGGTTCAAGTGGAAGAGAGATTGGGGGTCTTACATGATAGGCAAAAATGTGCCACATATGGCTATGAAATGCTTCTACTAGTGAGTCACAATTGAGTTAGATGAGTGATTTTCAAGAGCGGACTTGAGAAGGATGCAGAATATCTGTGTTTGGATGTCATGTTAAACCATGGTTCACTCTGGTTTGCATGCTTCTTCTCTTCTTTCCTTGTTCCAAAACTGTTGCTTCTATTTTCAATTAATACAAGTGTGCCGTAATCCTAACTAGTTTGTTTTAAACAAGCCATGTTGAATCTGTTGGTTAGAAAAGTGGCTTGTTTAAATGAACTGTAGTTAACATTAACCACAATATAGGATTCAGATAGCATTGGAAACTTGAATGAAGCAAAATCACTTCTGATCTCCTTGCAGCTCCTCCAAAAGAAGAGAGAGTGCAGAAGCCTGAGGCTTGCTGCAGATCATCCTTGTCATATTGGATCATAGTTTAGCATGACATGCAAATGTACTCAATATGTGTGCTACATTTGTGTGGCTTGAGCAAAAGGAGACTCAGCTTTATGGAGGCAGGGATGTTGCAAAAACAAAGGTAGTCATCTAGAAGGTATTGAGAGATAATTCCTGAAATTGTTTGTATTAAAATTGTGTCTGTTCAATAAACTTCTGTCTGTGTGTGGCACTGAACATTTTAATATTGTTTTTTGTTTTAAGGTTCTACATAATCTTAATATGTGGTGTGCTAGAAATAGAACCCTGACTTACGATGGTGTTAAAGAAGATGCCAAAAAAGCTAAAAAGGACATCAAACTGGTAAGAGAGAACATTGATAAAAAGCTATATGCTTGTTTTCAGATCTGCAAAATGTTGATTTTTACTGGAAAGTCAAGTTGTATTTTGTTGAGTAATAAGCGATGGGGATGGATTGATCATGAGAGAATGAGTATGTTATTGTAGGACTAGCCCAGGGCATCTTGTTATCTGAGGCAGAAAACCCAGTGGTAAACCCACCCTTGCCATTTCCAAATATAAGAAACAGCCAAGAATGTATTACCTTCAACACACACAGCATTGATTTTAAGTAACATTATGTAGATTGATGTGTAATTGAAAGACGGGAGACCAGGAAGGCAATTCATTTGCTTCTAGTCATTCAGAAAGGTTGTGCCCGTGTAACCTGATCCTACACCTGTATTCTTCTGAAATCAGCAACTGTTTTCTCAAGTAAATACATACAGGAGTGTCACCTCTGCAGTGCTAAGCAGGTCTGAACTAAGGCCGCCTAGCTTCTGTAGAAATTATTTCAGGCAGTGTGTGCAGAGCGGGTTGTGTTATAATAGTACAGTGGTGAAGAAGGTTGCATGGCAAGAGTCGCAGTTGAACACCCTCCAGCAGCAGATGGGGAGCAACCACAGGGAATGCTGGGTTATCCTGAAGGATCTCAGGTAGGGTCACGGTGGCACAGGAGGTGGGACTACAGGCAGCCTTCCCTGTCTCTCCTCAGGACCTGTTGAGGCAAGGCCATTCGTCTCTTCTTCCTACACACACTCTGTGTGTGTGTTACACTAGCCAGCTGCACTTGGAAACACACTGGTGCACAAATGGAAGCAAGTGCAGCGCAGACAAGACAGTGAAGTGAGGTAGACAGGAGCTCTGCTTTGCTCCCCAGTCTTCACTCAATATTCCTGGTGAAGGTTGTCTGTAAAATAACCAGTGTTCTCTTAGCCACTAGCAGGAGGAAGTGGCGCCAGGACAAAGCCCATGTGAGGCAGTGAGGGAGGAACATGAACACAGACAACACAGCCACGGTAGATGGCTGCTTTTCTTGACTGAAGTGCAGGTTGCTGAGCTGGCTTTCTTGTCTCGAAAAAGGTAGCACACAGTATTTAGAAAGGCATAATTTGAGAGAGAAACCTTAGGTATCCATCCAGTGCTTATCTTCAGAGAAAATGCATTTAAAATTACATATTTAAATGGAAATTTAAATGTAGTTTTAAAATATAGCTTGTAGATTAATGTGAATGTGTGCAGCACCAACTTTATCATTCTTAATACAAAGCAGCCATTTATGAATGCTTCTGTAAGACCACAGTGAAATTGTATTGTGTGTTCTATAACAGTATTAAAGCAAAGCATGCTGCTTATATACCGCCCCATAGCGCTTCAAGCACTCTCTGGGAGGTTTACAAGTTAATTATGCAGGCTACACATTGCCCCCCCCCCCCCAGCAAGCTGGGTACTCATTTTACCGACCTCAGGAGGATAGAAGGCTGAGTCAACCCTGAGCTGGCTACCTGGGATTGAACCACAGGTCATGAGCACAGTTTTGACTGCAGTACAGTGGGTTAACCACTGCGTCACGAGAAAGGAGAAGGAAGGAGAAGGAAGCTGTAGGCTGTAATTTCTCAGTAATGTCTGATTCTGGCCTGGAAAGGTGTATCTTCATTACATAGTTTTATCAGTTTGATGCTACTTTAGCTGTCATGACTGAATCTTAGTGAACTGCAGCATCCATCATTTGAGAAGGTATGTAGTATTCAGAGGAGGCCTTTCAGCATGCTAGCAGAGCGTCTTAACTGTCTTAGCAAATAGCAAATCCTAGAATGCGGTCATGATAGTTAAAGTGGGATCAGACTGATACAATTGTTCAGTGCAGTTACACTTTGACTGTACTGTATTTGCAGAAATGGTTTAGCTGTATAAGCCCTTTCTCTCTCTCTCTCTCTCTCTCTCTCTCTCTCTCTCTCTCTCTCTCTGTAAAAGACATGCGGTAAGATTAGTCTGAGGAAAAGATGCATTTTCACATTACGGGAGGTTGTTGCTATCTTATAGATCTGTCTTTGCATGCTCAGATCTAAATTTCCTGCCTTATAGAGGTGTTGAGATTTAGCAAATTCTGTATCAAGAATAGTTGGGCTTCTGGCTAAACTGACCAACCAATGCAGAATCTTTTCTTGACAAGCAGGATTAAACCTCCTTAACCAGAAACTGTGTTTTTTTCACCCCCAGGGTCCTTTTGATGTTGTCAGGAAAGTTTTTGCTACTGGAGAAGAGACATCTCACATGACCCTTATTGACAAAGCCGACCTGTTCTTCCACGATTATTCTCTAGCCCTGCTCTTTGTCCAGGAGAACTACGTACATGTGAAACCAGCTGCTGCTGGGTAAATTTCAACAATCTTACTGAATAGTGTTTCCCCAAATTAAGAAAGTACCCTTGTTGATGATTAATATATGTAATTGTATTTTGCCTCTAGGGGTGATCTGAAGAAACACCTGACGTTACTTAGCAAAGCAGCCGACAGTATCTGTGATGGTGACTTAGTGGATCGGCAGATCCGCAGTCGACAGAACTGGAGCCTTCTGCCTACACAGGTGATCCATGTCTTTAGCTTCCTGTGCCTATTCCGTGATTCGTTGGTGGCTGCTCTGCTACGGACCAAAGACACAGACCATACCAATAAGCAAGATTAAGTACAAAGCAGCACGCTTCTTTCTTTCTTCAATGTCTGAGATTTTGATCCATTGGCTCAGACAATTTTTACCAAGCGTTTGCAAGCAAAAATGTGCGGGAAATTATAGTTGATTGGAAAGAAAACAGTGCAGCTGGATTAGCATGGAAGTGCAGCTTGATGGATTTCAGCCATCGTGCTCTTGCAAAATTCCTAATATCAGTGGCCAATAACTTTTTTAGTATACTGTGTATCAGTTGTAGTGGTTTTTAAAATGAGACATTTATTAGTTTGGGGTTTTTATCTTAAAAGATGGCATTGTGTTCCTTATAGGAAAATTCTGTATTTATTTAAAATATTTTTACCCCTCCTTTCTTTTAAAATCATACTTTTTCTGTTCCAAATAGTTAAGATTTTTAAAAAATGCTTGGATTTAAATACCAAAACAGTAATTTACTTTTATCATACTGATCTCCAGAATGCATAACATATAAAAAACTGATGTTGTGGTTAAGCCAAAAGCGAACATGCAACATACCTTAGGTATATCTAGTCATTTGTGAGATCAGGGATATTTTTCCAGTACATAGCTTGGTCAGTAAGATGATTTTAAGGAAAAAGGAATTCTGTGTTGATGGTGCTTAGAATAAGGCTGGGAAGAACAATAGGAGAACTTGTATTGTATTCATAATAGGACTGTTAAGTAGACATCATCCATCTTCAGTCTCCTTCATTCCAGTATTAATCTGTTGCAGTTCAAAGCAACAATTTCAATAATTGTTTATTGTTTACTGTCTATTGTTGGATATTTTTATTTTGCTATATGTATATGTTTTTGTATTTTTACTTGTCTGGAAGCCACCTAGAGTGGTCGTATTGACCAGATAAGTGGGGTAATAAGTAAGTAAGTAAGTAACATACATACATACATACATACATACATACATACATACATACATACATACATACATACATACATACATACATACATACATACATACATACATACATACATACATACATACATACATACATTAGCCTAGGGTACTGTTTCAGCCCTTCTGTGCACTATTACCAAAACATGATGTCCATGTTTTGTTTATAATTAATGTTTATTTCATTATAGGCCATTTATTCAAGCGTTCTCCCTGGAGAGCTGATGAGAGGCTACATGAACCAATTCCCAAGCTTTCCAAGCTGGCTGGGAAAATTTTCATCAACAGGAAAACATGATCGCATTGTCCAAGAATTGTCAATGCATATGAGCCTGAGGTAACACTGGTAATTCTTTTTTAGTCCCCTAATTACAGTACAGGATCCCCCCTTCACGGGTTGCTGCCTTGTCGTGGCAAAGGGGCTTGAGTAATTCAGAGAAGCTATGGGCTATGCCATGCAGGGACACCCAAGATGGACAGGTCATAGTGGAGAGTTCTGACTAAACACATTCACATGGAGCAGGAACTGGCAAGCCACTCCAGTATCTTTGCCAAGAAAACTCCATGGACAGAAACAAAAGGCTAAAAGATTTGACGCTGGAAGATGAGGCTCTCAGGTTGGAAGGCATCCAACATGCTACTGAGGAAGAGCGGAGGACAAGGATAAGTAGCTCCAGAACTAATGAGGTGCTTGGGCCAGAGCCAAAAGGACATTTGATGTTGCGAAAGTGTGGGGGCAAGAGGAGAAGGGGATGACAGAGGACAAGATGGTTGGACAGCATCATCGAAACTACCAACACGAATTTGACCCAACTCCGGGAGGCAGTGGAAGACAGGAGGGCCTGCCATGCTCTGTTCCATGGGGTCATGAAGAATCGGACACGAATAAACGACTAAGCAACAACAATTATAGGATATAATTGAAGTCCATTTTTAAAATATATTTTAGGCTTGCAGCCCCTGAATTAATTTAGTTTACAGGATCTTCCAGCCCAAGGCCTGAATTCAGTTTCAGAGATTTGATCCCAGTGGTGGGCAAAGTCAAGGAGGAAACAGTCAGACCAAAAATGCCAGCATATTTTAGCTGGAAACCTTTACTATCTATAACTAACTAAATATCAGTCTTTTAGAATGGTAAGCTCCCATACAAAAGTTGTGAAACCACCAAACAGTTTCAGGGGAAGGGGGCATGACCACTTGGGGACTCTAGGAGGGCCAGATTCAACTCCAGAGCGTATAATTCCCCACCTGTTTACATGGTGTGACTTGCATCTTGGAGGCTGAAGGAAGGTGGGACAGCAGTCCTTCCCATGGTGGGAGGTTCCTATCCCCATGTTGCTCAACCACATTTGACATCCTGATTCTTGCAAATGCTTGTTTAGAATCTTGTGTATGTGATTAAGTTTCGTCCTTCTTTGTGGACATAACTCTTAATATGTGACACAGAGTATAACTTGAGATCTTGTATTCTGCCTTGTGAATTTTAATTGTTCTTAATACGTGGTGTCATTTTATTGATTGTGTTAATTTTTTTATCTTAGTTAATACAGCTACAGCAGATAGTTTTCTTTTTCTGCCTCAAATCTGCATTGAAGGCAATTTCTGAATTGTGACTATGCTAGTTAATGCTGAATTACTCATGCGAAGCAATGAGTAACACATGTGAGCTCTGATTAAGTAGCCATTCTCTTCTTTTAAGATGTTGGATCTTCAACAAGATTCACTGTCAGGTGAATCACATTCTGTGTGTATGTGTAGCAGTATGGGTGTCATTTGGACAGATGTACAGAACAATTTCGAATCAAGAGTGCTTCCAGGATGCAGCATCCTACTGCAGTGCTATTTGTGGCCTAGATCCAACATGATGCTGTAAGAGGAAAAAACTTTGCATAGTGTTGTCGTGCTGAGTTTAACTGTTGTGTGAGGAGAAGACAAAGAGGCAGTATATGCATGTGCTCTGCTTTGTACAGTGGCACCAAGCAGCAGCATATGTATGAGCTTTGCCAGGGAAAACCACACCGGATCCCTTCCCTGCACTACATCTATGTATTTCTGCTAGTTTAGACTTTGTACAAGCACATGACACCAGCCCCTCTGATTATATTAGGCCACCTTTTTTTAGGATCAGTTCATCAAAACTAAAGATGTGTCAGTAGTCTGCATATAAAGTTTCCAGTATACTGTGCACTGTTTCATGTCTCCATGTTGCTCTTAATCTAGGATATGTATGGTTTTTGCCAAGTCAGACTATTGGTTCATCTAGCCCATCTTAGACCATCATGGTCTAAGGCACTGGTTCTTAACCTTGGGTTACTCAGGAGTTTTGGACTGCAACTCCCAGAAGCCTTCACCACCAACTGCTGGCTGGGGTTTCTGGGAGTTGCAGTTCAACAACATCCGAGTAACAAAGGTTAAGACCCACTGGTCTAAGGCAGTAGTGTATCTTAATCTTTTTGTATGTGATGGTTTCAACTGGGAGGGCATTAAAATAAGCCGAAGTCTGAAGTTTTCAAACTTCAGGAAAACTTTGGGAAAGGCTACTAAATGCTTTTTTCCCTCTGTGTAGGACACATGCAAGCAAGAGAGCTGTAAATCTGGAGTATTTGTCATACCTTCGAGATGCAATTGTGAGACCTTTGACTATCCTGGGAACTGAAGGAGTGCAGGGTGCGATAGCGTTTATGGATTCTTATTGCTTAATGAAGGAAGATGTGGAAAATATAATGGAAGTAACCAGCTGGGGAGGCAAGCTCAGTGCATTCTCTAAACTAGATCCCAAGGCAAGTTATTTTTATGCAGCTTGCTGACTATTGAATATATTTTGTATTCTTTTCTGAAGAAGAAATTGTAAGAATAAAAGAATGTATGTTAAAATGTACCTGATATTTCTGAACATTACAGAGGATTCTGAAGCATGGTGCAGTCAGACTGGTTGAGGCTTCTCCGTTGCCTCTTTCCTGCATTTACACATTATAAGAAAAGGCTAGCACTGGTGACGAAACTGCTTATTAGAAAGAAGCACATCTGCTACTAATGGTCTTCTGAGGCATTCCAGATAAAACTTGCAGTATAGCCAAAGTTTCCCAGAAAACAACCTGGGGATTTTAGGCTACAGCTAAAATTGAGCAAAAAGTTTTTGCCCACATCTCAAGCTCTAAATATTAAACCAGAAGAGACCAGGCTAAACCTGTGAAGAACAAAAACAACACACTTTGCCAAGTGGATGAATGCTGAAAAAGTGTCTCTCCCCAGAAAAAGACTCTAGCTGGACCATTTGGAATTCACTTAATAGACTCTAAAGTGAAGTGGGGAAATCAAAGAATAATCAAGCAAAATTGGACTACTTGGATACAGGACAGGTTTTCTGTGACTGGAGAAATTTAATTAATGCATCATTTATATACATGCAATTTACACCTCACCACATGTACTGAAGAAGATCTAGTAAATGGCTGAGATAATGTTATTAAGGTAGCCTGCTTCTGCTCAAAAATAGTCTAATTATCTTAACATTTTAATTTATTTTTAATTCTTCCTATATTTCATCTATATCCATCATTTTAAAATGTGCAATACTTTGATACAAACGAATAAAGAAGAATCTGAAAATCATTGATTAATGGATAAAGAAAAATATCAGTGTTAAAGATTTATCTTTTACTTTTAACAGGTTAAATCAGCTTTCACACGCGCCTATAACAAGGAGGCACATCTTACACCGTATTCTTTGCAAATAGTACAAAAGTCAAAGCAGCGTGCCGGATCTATACAGGATGCTGAATTTAATGAAGAACAGGAAGCTGATGAAGTTAGATCTGAAAATGAGCAGGATAGTGTTGAATATGATGCAATGATTAAGGTAAAATTTTCAGCTGAGGCTTCAATTAAAATGCCAGAGAGCATTATTATTTTCAACCAGACTGCTTTTCAGAGATTGCTTAAACCAGGGGCTAATTTATTCAGTACTTCTGTTTTAGTAAGTATGTGAATGTTTGTAATAAATGTAACTACAAATAAAGGGAGGTGACTTATTTGAAATGTTGAGCCAGAGTACTGAGGCATGTAAAATGAACAAAATTGCCATATGTTGACAAGTATATACTGTAGGTGGAAAATGAACTGCAATATTCAAGCTTGTACTATAACACAGAGAGCCAGTATGTAGTGTAATATATAGAGTGATAGACTAGGACTGAGGAAATTTGGATTCAAATCTCTTCCTGACTGTGGAGACGTACTGGGGAAGTAGCCATGGTAAACCATTCCTTGACTACATCATATAAAAACTATGGTAAGGTTGCCATAAGATGGAGTTAACTTGACAGCACATGAACAACTGTTAACACTATGGCCTCTATTGATACCACATGTTAGGCTGAAGAATAGCAGCTATAACATCCTGCATCTATGGAACTCTCTTCCCTAAAAAATACATTTGGAGCCAACAATTAAATAAAATGCCATCTCATCACATAGGATATTTTTTTACTCACTCCTCTGGAGGTTATGCAAGAGTAGGTGATACCTTTTCTTGAAACACTGAAAAATAAATAGCAAGCTTTCATGGATGAAACCCACGTCCTCAGATTCTAAGCACATACCCTTCACAGGTGTGTGCTTAGAGGCATGCATGTGAAAAGATCTATGGATGAGGAGAAAGTAGTAATCTTTCTTGAAAAAAATGATATGGAATGCAGTTCCAGTGCATATGCATGCATGCAGATGTATTTCCATGGGGATATGTTTTATTCTTATTTCCATGGTACCCAACATTATGGTGAAGCCAAATAATTCAGAATTTAAACTATGTAGTATAGAATGTCTTTGACTCTCAAGAATAAATTATTATGTACATTACTGAAGAAGTATCGCATTGGGAATTGTACACTTTATGTTCCTGTATTGGAATGAGCCTAAAGTTTACTCATTATTTTGTAACAAGCATAGTGGCATACTCTTTTGTTTCGTCTTCATCAGTGTGTTTTCTTTTAAACATTTTAGCTCCCCCACATGTTTTCCTTAAAAGTTGAGCGAGATTTACTGATGGTAAAGGGGATTGGTACTTTCGTGGTGAAGGTGTAAATTATAGGAGCAATTTTCATGTGATACAAATGTTTCTTGCTTTTATTTCAGTGCTGAACAAATAGAGCATAGCATAGTTGTATTTGTTCTGATTTGGCTAGCCTTCACCCTCTTGTTCCCTCCCTCTTCTTACCGAGTTCCCTGTTACTACTTTCCTTTCCTTTGGTATTGATTTTGACTCTTTCTGGAAAATGTATATACATTAATTCTAATGCTAGCAAGTTTTTAAAATGGTTATTCCAACATGCTTTTAAAAATAGATTTTTTTCCCTGCAGAAAAAGACCAAGACTGTCAAACAACCAAAAGGAGAAAAGAAAGGAGAGAAGAAAGGAGGGAAAGCAAAGCAAAAGTCAAAATAAAATGTTCTGTCCTGCAGGCTTTACAAGAATATTACTTTGTTTTGGACTGTCAGTAAATTGGATGGGCTAAAAATGCCCCTCATTGTGGTGATACGACTACTGTGTTCCGCTACTGCTGTACGGCACTGTAATATAATGACATACTCCATAGATCGAACAAATCAGTGGAGTCATGGCTTTAACATCATTAGCAACATGGTGGTAGTTGGGAACAGATAAAACATCTATTGACATTCTGTCTATGGTTCATTGATTGTAATGCTCAAACCCAACAGAGCTTGGCACTTTTTGTTGTCTTTGTCCCAGCAAGGCAGAGAGATAAACCTAGAAAAAAAATCCTAAGTTATTTCTAGGCATTTGAGGAAGAGACAAACCAAAGAGTTGGTTCCTGCCAGATTTGGATGTCATGATGATAAGACCGTACGTTGAAGTGTATGGTTTGCCAGCTCATTCAAAACAAGCTAGAACCATAATAATTTTAGTTTGTTGTGATGTCTGAGCCTGTCCATAAGCTAGCTGTATATGAAGCTCAACATAGGCTTCATTTTCAAATTTGTATAAATGGAGACAGAGGTTTAGTAGGCTAGATCTGGGAGAAAATGAACAGAGACCCTTTGCATTAACTCTGTATTTCAGTTTTACAGAGCACTTGCTATTTTTAAAAATATTACGTTGTAAAACCATGTATATAGTATATAGTGAACAACCCTTAAATTGGATATTACTTTTGTACATGAGAATGCAGCAATATGTACACGTTGCAATAAAACTGGTTTCATATTTTAGCAGATTAATTTTTCTTTTACTTTGTACATGGTACAGTAGCATCTCATCTTCTACCTGGGCATCTGTGTAAAACATTAACCACTGGTGGACTGACATGCATTATTTATACATCATTCCATGCATTTATTTGATTCATCTACAGCCGACGATTGTGGCTGAGCAAAATGCCTGGCTGGATTTTCTGTTTCTGGTCACCAAAATCTTCTACCCAAGCTTAGATGGTAGCATACTCGACTGTGGGTATTTTATGTCACACAGCTACATGGAAGCGGGTATTAGTTACACTATACAGCAACTGGGGGATTTTAGTTAAACCAAGGTTATAATCCTTTATGGTTTCAGTGATGCATCTCAGTAGATAGTTTAGGCCAGGGGTCTCCAAACATTTGAGCTTGAGGGCCACATCATGTATTTTTCACATTTTTGAGGGTCAAAGGAACCCTCGCACCTCCCCTGCATGGATGCACGCACCCATGGACACACAAACCCCCCTCCCGCCCGCACACATGCACACCTGCCCCCGTGTGCAGGGGCTGAAAGGAATGGGCTGGATAAAATGGCAAGGCAAACCAGATGTGGCCTGCAGGCTGTAGTTTAGAGAACCCTTGTTTAGGCTGAAGGAACAGCAGTGTGATCAATTTTGGTTGAATAGCAGAGGCTTAAGGACAGAGAACAGACACTAGCAATAGGCTAATAAATAAGGATACTTGACTTCTGGTCTGGCCGCACAGTTCTGATTGACCTAACTTCCAAGGGTCTCCTCCTCTCCTATCATCTGCAGGATGCTTAGTGCCTGAATTATGCACATGTGTGAGTAAAAACCAAAAGGCAATAACCATTTATGCGTGTTCAAGTGAGAAACAAGAGGAAAGGATCAAAACTGGAAGGAGTGAACTACATGTCAAAGGTCTGAAAAGTCGTCAGCTCTAGATCTGTGAAATCAAAAAATAATTCTTATTTAAATTTTATTGTAAACAGAAAAGGCCATAGTACAAAAATTTCTATAAAAGATAAATATTTACAGTTTAACAATTAAAGATTTGATAACTATGAAATAATTTCAAGCACAGTATCAAAATATGTTTACATTTGGAAGCTTCTCTATCATGCAGCGTTTGATTATCCACCATCTGAAAATCAACACAGATATTTTAATAGAAACATTTCCTTACATTTTATAATAGACCAAGGTTTGGCATATACAAGTTTAGCTTCTAATTCTGTTTTAAGATCACCAACAGCTACACAGGCCTCAGCTTTCAAGGCTTCTGAAAAATTCAGGGCAAATCATAAGCTCAAATAGAGTAAAAGTACGTATCTTTATAAATTGAAAGCTACCCCCACAAGACTTGTCTCAGCTGTCTAGGCCTGTGCCAACCCACACAGAGTCACTGAACTGTTAGGAAGATAATGGTAGCACATACTTAGTGTGCTATGTAAATTAAACCTAAGACACACAAGATGAAGAATTGTTGACCTGTAGCCTCTGTCTTCAATAGTGTGCTTCCTTACTATACAGTGGTGCCCCGCTAGACGATCACCTCGCAAAACGGTTTATCTGGTAGACGATGAGTTTTTGCAATCACTATAGTGCTTTGCAAAACGGTGTTTCCTATGGGTGATTTTCGCTGAACGATGTTTTGGTCCATGCTTCGCAAGACGGGTTTTTTGGGGGGACCGTTTTTCGCAAGATGACGATTTTGACAGCTACATCCGTGACTTGCAAAACAGGTGTTTTTGGGACCGTTTTTTCACAAGACAGTGATTTTGACAGCTGATCTGCGCTTCGCAAAATGGTCTTCCTATGGGCAGTTTTTGCAAAACGACGATTTTTCCCCATGGAACGCATTAAATGGATTTCAGTGCATTCCAATGAGGAACTGCATTTTGCAAGATGATGTTTTCGCAAAACAGCCATTTTCGCGGAACGAATTAACATCATCTTGCGGGGCACCACTGTACTCAATAGCCTAGAAATATTTAGGTTCTAGAAATATTTAGGTTCTAGAAACCTATTTTATTTTATACTTACTTGATTAGGATCATTGTTCCTCTTCAGTCTTGAGGTATGGTGTACAATCAATGGTTTTCTTAAGGCTGGTGATGTCAACTTTTTCTGAACACATGGGGCATATATTTTCATGTTGTAACAAGCTGGTTGTAGGACAACACAAATGTGCATAATTTATACAGGTTGCAAAATGCTATTCTGGTCTTACATTGAATAACCAACTTCAGTACAGAAAGATGAATCACATTTGGTGTTTCGGCTCACCTGAAAAGCGCTTTTTAGATGAGTGTGATAGTAGTAGTGTAGGGGACTATAAAGTCTCTCATACATCTCAGATTTCACTAGCAATCGTATCCTAAGCAGACATTCCTTCTTGCGTGTACACCAAATACAGAATAAAGTTTTACTTCTTCAAACCAATTTTTACACCCTGCATGTTGTTGGAAATACATGGGCTTCATCTAGAGTACGATCGGCATCTTGAAATGAATGCTACAGTACACTGGGAGGCCTACAGCAAAAGAAGAACAGTTCCATATGGAAGGCAAGCTGCTCTGCTTTTTGTTTTGTTTACAAGGGAGCTGAAGTTTAAAACATTCAGAATCAGTTTTCTTGTTTGTTAATAGGCCTCTGCTAACCTAAACCCTCATGTTTAGGTTGAAAAATGGTTTCTGGGATGTGTGTGAATGGCAGAAATATTCTTTACCCAAAATAATGCACACATTTTCAGAGATCTTTGTTGTCATTTCATCCTCACAAGACAATGATGGCTTTCTTCATGTGTCCTAGAAGTATCCTAGTGAACCAGGGATTACGTACTGAACTTGATGATGTCACAGTAATAAATAAGCAGTAACACCATGAATCAACAGAGCAAATTACATTAGTGTAGAGAATAAGGTTAATGTTTCTAAGACTGGTCATGCAGGTGATCCTACTTAATATGGATTAAAATGAAGAAAATCTCAAACATAGCAGTTAGGAGATTAGGAAAGGATAGAGTGGGTCACTGAGAAGCTGGCGGGATGATTTATTCTAGGTCTTGAAAAAAATTCATCTAGTAGGATGAAAAGAAGGCAGAGTGAAGAGAGTCTGATGGGTAAAGAAGAAGAGGTGGCAGTGGGAGGGCTGCATACACAAAAAACTAAGGAAGGAGGATGACATTTTAATTTTGATCAGAAATCTATTAGACAAATGTTTGATTGAAGGCCTGTAGTATAGAGGAGGGTGATACATATCTAATTTGCTTTTATAATGCAGGATTTCAAAGGTTAGCATGAAAAACATTTCAACTTACTTTCTGAATTCTGAATACAGGGCAGGGAAGTCACAGTGAGGGCATACAGTCCAATCATCTTTTACCATATGTCGCCCCTGGAAGGAATGGATAGGTTATCCTGGATGGTCAATGTTGTCTCCTAGTTTAGTCCAGATATGATGGAAAAGGACAGTGCCAACATATTCCAAATGTCTTGTTACTAAATTAATGATACTATCTTGTGGTAAATACTACAGGGCACAAACCCTAATGTGACATTCAGCATGTTACAAGCAGAAAAATACCGAGAGTTTGTCCAGAAAAGAAAAGGAAAGGAAAAAAGTGTCAAGAGTTGTCAGTTTTTATGGACATGGTTCCAGGTAGCAGCTTGGGCTCCAAACATTTAATGAAAGCAAAAGTACAACCCTTAATTAAGAGCACCTACTGCAGTATTTGGATACTTACTGTTGCAATACAATATGGGAGGTTGTTTTTACATCCAGGACACAGAAGTTCACATTCAGGCAACAAGAACTCACAGTATGGACATGGGGTGGTTGGCTCTTCACCTTCTGATGTGTCAGGCCGTCTGTTAGTAAATGTTAATTGAGAAATTAAAAGGCTGTTCTCTGTCTGTGAAAAGATTTATTGCCCTCCTCTGGCAACTATATGGAGAACGCCAGCTCCTGTGCAGTGTAAATGCACGGGCTGTGATCTGAAATCTCTGTCCTTCAATCCTCACTTGTACCCTCAGGTAACCCACTGTAACTTAGCATCAGAAATACCCAGCAACATGGAGCCAGTGGATTGTTTTAAAGATTAAGACACTCATGATAACAGTACAAAATATTATTTGTGGAAATCCCGATAGCTCTGAGATGCCTCCAAAGAAAGGAAAAACGGGTAGAGAAAATTAGGCCACTGATATGTTGAAAGAAATGCTGGTCCATTCCTCTCCTTGCAGTGCCTCAAAGGGATACCGGTTTGATAGACACTGAGATTCTCTAATCATGCTCCCTGTAATGAACTGCTCAGTCCTATGTATGTTTACTTGAAAGTATTTTTACTGAATTTAATAACTTAATAAGTATCTCTAAGTTAAGGGTGCACAGAATTGCAACCTAAGGCTACTTCCTCAGCAAGCTTATATCAATGCATTTTCAACTTCAGTTACACAGTGTAATAAAAGCTCACCGGACCATTGCTTCAATCTTCTTTTTATATTTCAAATCAATTTTATTCCGGTACTCTGGCCTCATCAACATAGCAGCAAAACCAAACGCTGACTTTTTCAGTCCTGCTCTGTGGCATTCAATCACTGTTGAGGTCAGGATAGGCACAATATCTATAAATTAAAGCACAGAAAAAAAATCTCACTTTTGCTCAGTAGTCAACCCTTACTGTATTTAACAAACAGCTGCTAATTTATTTGACTTTCTTAAATAACAACATTCAGATCCACTTTTTCTACACTGTCTCTGTTTATTATCTACTTACCAGAGACACCTAAAGACTGGAGTGAGTGGATACATGTGGAATAGATTCAATACAAGTAAAAGAATAACATATAATGAAACACTAGTAGAAGCCTCTATGCAGGCCTGTCTTGCTCTTGAATTTTCCCACAATGGCCAGAATACGGCTGCTATTTGTGGAAGATTTGTGCAATTTGGTGCAGCCAATGTGACTAATTGATGGGGTGCCCAGCTGTAGCTTGTCAAGCATCCAAGTCTGCAACCAAGATGTGCTCAAGCACCCCATCAATTAGCAAGATACACAAGCTTCATAACTTAAACAAACACAAACAGCTTTCTGGCCAAATTCTGGACAACTTTATTTTTATTTTTTCAAATAACAAGATCTAAATCACCTGAAAAGATACCCACGAGTTTTACAGACAAGTTTCTAACTACAGGACAACATAAGAGCCAGAGTATATCGAGAAGATATTAGTTACAATATGCTGAAGAAACAACCTTTATGGCAAAACAGGAATTACTGAAAAGGAAGACCCTCACTAAAGCTACAACCTTAAAAACATTCACTGTGGCATAAACATTGAGCACAATGCTGAACTCCTGTTATGAACACTTACGGGATGGAAACTTGCTGATATTGTTGGCAACGCGAATTAGCAAACGTGCTCCTTTCAAATGGTCACCACACTTGACATGAATCTGTAATACAAATGTGAATTATTCTACGCTCTAATAGCAAAAATGTTCACGATCTCTCAAGCCATTTCAGTTTGTGTTTGATGCACAGAAAGAGACACATACATAAACGGATGTGATGAGGAACAGTCTAGGAGAGTTTAGGAGGAAAGGAATTTCAACGGACATGATACGATTCACAGGATGAGCAAAGGACACTGGAACAAATCAGTGAATTTTAATAATTTTTAAAGCTTAATACTATGAAAATACAAAAAAATCCTAGATTTACATGTGTGTTGAGCATAATCTTTGTACATAATTAAAGCCATAGATGCTTCAGAAACAGTAGTACATGATGCATAAAAAAACAAAATTATCTCATGCTTAGTAATGACTCATCCACGGGCTACCTGAAATTCTGTGTTATGTCACCGATTAAAGTTTTATTTGATCAATTTGTTCTTTTCCTTGAACATCCCTCTCTCAAGTAGTTTAACCCCCCCCCCAATAGCACACAGTTCAACTGTGG